TATCAAAGATCATGTGAATACCAAAAGACATGATTCATTTTGACAAATCTCCTCTTAAATAATCAAAAAGAAATCTTAGGAGATCAAATAGTAAAAGATCTTCAAAAAAAATTTAAGTAATGAATTCTGAGAAATTAAAAGAGAAACCATGATTTATTTGGATAAATATTCTCTTTAATAAAATGTAAGAATCATACGAGAATAAAAAGTAAGGGATCCTGATTCATATAAAGAAAATCTCAAGTTATGATTTCGAGAATTCAAGATCATGATATAGATAGAACTCATTCAAATTCAAATCGTCAAATCATCAAAATCACTTTCAAGAGATTCAAAATGACATAAATAGATTTATCAATCTCTTATTAAAAAATCGATAAGATAAAGATAGAGAAATTTTCAAGAAAAATACATTCCCTTTTTATGTGTTTTAATTTATGTAATTTATTTCACACAAGAATGCTTTTGTCTTTTATGCCAAATAAAAACATGCATCATCGTTTAAAACGAAAAAAACAAATTTCATCATAAAAATCATCAAGATTAATAAACCATAAATCATAAAAATCATCATTACTTCAAATCATCATGCATAATTAAATCATTAAATCATCAAGCATAATTTCATTAAACATAAAGCATTTTCAATCAAAATCATTTTGTTTCGGCTAGTGAGCTTTGTGAAGTGTGTTGGATCTCCGATCATAAACCTTGAGCATCCACTATCAAAATTTTATTTTTGCTCCTAGCTTTCAATTATAGATTTACCTATCTTGTTTTTTGATAGGTGGGTTGGCTATAGGTACCTATTTGATTTTAGGTTCCTCATATTTAGATCTACCTATCTTGTTTTTTGACATTAGATCATTTATGATTCCTTTAAGAGATATGCAAGTCATATCTTTTAAACGAATAGTTATATGCATAATGACCATGTCTACTGTAAAAATTATACTTAACCTTAAGAGTAACATGCAATGCAATGTGGATCCTTTAACAAAAGTAGTTAGCTTTTGTTGAGTATATACTCATAAAGTCGATTCCTTCATTTCTACGAACATAACCCTTATTGGCAAGAATCATGTTTAATGATTTGCTACCAATTTTAAATTTTTCTAAAGTTAGTTGGAATACTATATTTTCTTTCTTAAGTGAGTCTAATTCTTCACACTTAATGCAAGGGGTTAACAAGCATTTATCATACTCATTTTTAAAATTTTCAAATTCATTAGAAAGAGAAGTATGATCCCTTTTTAATAATTTATATTTTTTACCAACTAATTTACATTCATCAAACAAATCATGAAAGGCATTAAGTAATTCATCGTAAGGTAAGTAAGATTCGTTTGAGCCACTTACCTCGTCGTTGAGAGCCATTAAGTCGTAATTCGCCACCTCGCCTTTATTGGTTTACTCCTCGTCTTCGGATGTACTCGATCCGTCCCATATCACCTTAAATGCTTTCTTCTTCTTTGGTAACTTCTTCAGTTTTATACACTCATCTTTGGAGTGCCCCGACTTCTTGCGTTCATAGCAAGTGGTTGTCCTTTTTGAGTTCATTTTTAGATTCTTGTTTTATGAATTTTTTGAATTTTCTTGTCAAAAGTTCTATGTCATTATCACTTGAGCTTTCGCTCAAGTGGTCTTCTTTTGTTCTAAGTGTCAAATTCTTTATATTCTTTGGAAGGTTGTTCTCATGTTCGTCATATGCAATACATGTCATTTCATAGTCATTAAAGACCCGATAAGTTCTTAAGCAGGAAATTGATCAAGTCCTTTGCTTATTGTATTGCCGTTACTTTTGGATCTCAACTCTTTAGAAAAGATATTAAATCTTGTTTACAAGTTCAAGATTAGAAAACATTTGCCAACTACTTTTAAACTATTAATGACATCCATAAAACGGGTGTACATATCAACAATAATTTCGCTTAGCTTCATTCGAAACAATTCAAAATTATACATCAAAAGATTTATCTTAGATTCTTTAACTCTACTTGTGCCTTCATGTGTAATTTCAAGAGTGTGCCAAATGTCATGTGTAGTTTCACAAATCGAAATACGATTAAACTCATTTTTGTTTAAAGCGCAAAATAGAGCATTCATAGCTCTAACATTTAAAGAAAAAGTCTTCTTCTCCAAATCATTCAATTAATTCATTGGTTTGTAAGACTTTTGAAAACCGCTTTCAACAATATTCTATAAATCGAAATCCATAGAAAGCAAGAAAACTCTCATTTGAGTTTTCCAATGCGTGTAGTTTGTCCCATTGAACATATGAGGACGAATGATAGAGTGACCCTTTAGATTGCCGGTAAAAGTCATTCTCTTGAGTGTTAAACCAACCGAGAGTAATGTAACTCTGATACCAACTGTTAGGACCGAAATCGGCACTAAGGGAGGCGGGGGGGGGGGGTTGAATTAGTGCTTTTAGGAAAACGACGTCGATTCGAAAAACTTTAATGATTTGATAAAACCGTATCAGAAATGATATCGAAGTGTGCTTGACTTAGAGTAAATGTAATAAGCAGTTAAAGCAGAAAAATAATAGTAATGAAGAGCATAAAGAAGATGCACACCAAATTTATAGTGGTTGGAAAGAAGATCGTTAGTGGAAGCCGGTGGCCTCGACGGAAGAGGAATCGAGAGTGGATGTATTTCTAAGCTCAAGGAGGAGGGAACTGAATGTTTTGGCAGAGTTTTCTCAATTTTTTCCTTAAGAATTTTTGCTCCATTATTGCTACCCAAACGGAGTATTTATAGGCACCAAATGGTTTAAAAAATAGAGCCAAAAATTTAAAATTCTAAGTCTTTCGGGTACGAGCGATACCACCGCTTGCACTGGGCTGTACCACCGCTTGCACTGGGCTGTACCACCGCTTGCCAGTCTGACACTGACACCAGGTGGTACCACCACCCAGTCTGGCAGTACCATCGCTTGACACAGTTTGGGAGATTGTGTCTGGGTAGTATCACCGCCAAACCCTACTACAAGTCACTAAATGGGTCAAACAACAGACCAAATTCAGGCCCAATTAGCCCCTAATCAAGTTGGCATTGTTTCACCCAAAACCAACTCAATTAAACCTAACTAACTCGATCTAGACACATACGATTACAAGCATAAATCTTATGTTGTCCGGCATGTCATTGGTTCGTCCGACGTTTCGTCCGATCCTTCGGCGCATCGTCCTCTCTTTTGGTGTATTGCCCAATCGACATGTTGACTCCCGCAACTTCCGATCTCCTTGGCGCAATATCCGATCCTTCGACCCGATGCTCGAATTCATGGCACGAAGTCCTTTCGGCCCGACGTCCAATCTTTTGACATATCCTACTCCTGCCCAATATCGATTCTTCCTATTTTAATCAAATTATCTTTCATTGATCGAGGTTAGTTCTGTGTCACTCAAACGCATATTAGATATTAATTTTATCAATTTATTTTATCATCAAAATCCGAGATTCAACAGCTACACTGTTGTTAAACAAAGCCAAGATATCACGTAGTTTAGAATTTTTGATATGCTAACCTGATCTAGCAAAATGTTGGAAGTTTTAAAATCACGGTATATAACTGGCTTTTCAGTGTCATGGAGCAAAGCAAGCCCTTTTGCTGCACCTAACGCAATTCTCATTCTAATCGACCACGGAAGGGGCGCTTCTACTCCTGCATAACAACATATATATTTCATCAAAAATATTAATGATTAAATATTGAAATATAAAAATATCCCTAGCTAAACATAAATTAGAAGATGGTCACATATTATAGCTAAATCCACTTGATGCCTAGTGGTTGCCATACATTTCTTGTCGTATCAATTGACTAATTTATTTACTGCAAAAGTTCATGTCTGATTGTCTTGAACCATTATTATGAAGCAAGAAAGGAGCAAGCTGACTTGCAAGCAAAGAGTTTTATTGAAATGAGTAGATATGGACCAACTATAGATAAGAAGAAACTGGTATCGCATGTATGATGAAAGGAAAATAAACTCTGATGTAGAAACTAAAGTAGTCAAAAGGCAATAAAACAGAGGACAATAAAGATAGTTCACGGTGCATGCATGTGCTTATAGCCCAAGAAAAAGAACACTTTGATCCAATTATAAATGGCACAAGAAGCAAATTATGAGGATGGCCTTGATAGATACTTGAGAAGAGATTGAATTCCACACTGCCCCGATCCATTAACTCATACACCAGGACTCGATGCTCATCTTCGCAGCAATAACCAATCAATTTGACCAAATTTGGATGAGAAAGCTGCCCGAGGAATATGACCTCAGCCTACGGACATCAAAAAACTTCACTTAAAACAGCATAACAGAGATCGGATCAAAGAGAGAACCAAAAGCTGAGAACCGTTCATATCAAACTGATCAGGAGTTTCATACCAGCCATTCTCTGTGACCTTGGTAGCTATTATCACCATCATGGACCTTCACAGCTACTTGAAGAGGTTGAAGCCCCTCCCTAGGTTCTTCAGTGATGACACCCTTGTATACACTACCAAATCCCCCGATGCCCAAAATGTTGTCCTGCTTAAAATTCCCTGTGATTTTCTTGAGTTCACTGAAAGAGAAGACAACAAGGGGGTTCATTGCTGTGTCCCGTCGCAAGTCCTCCACTTCTTCTGGGTTTGATGGCAATTTTGTACCCTCCTTTTCCTCTTCTTTCACCAATGGATTCTCAACTTCTGGAGATCCTGTTGACAGATGAAACCATTCAGATAAATTTATAAACACTGCTAAGGAACAAGCTTCCCAGTCTAAGCTTCTAATGGTTGTATAAAGCAGAAGATGTTAAAGAATATTTGTGGATATAATTGACTTAGAACAAGAACTACAAGAACTGGACAGTGGTGAAAATTTTGATCAAGATTAATAAGTACACAACTAGAAAGAAGTGTCAAAAAGAACAGTTCTTTTGATACATCCAGATATCTGGCTTCATATAAAAAGCATGTGGGTTCACTTTTTAAGTCTATGAATCCTATAAAAGAATCAGCTGCAAGCCAAAATTCTGAAGAACCATGTTGCGACCTGTAAGGACTTCAATACAACACCTGCACTTGTTCCTTGCTACAAAAGAACAGGGAAGGAGGAGAAAGTTCCTCTAAATCAGGCCTACAGAAGCAAATAGCAAGGCCTCAATCGTTAAGATCACCGACCTTTATGCCTCTCCAAATAACAAGATTACGAGAAACTCCTGATTATAACTATATAAGACAATCATAAATAAGGCATGAAATGCGAAATCAATATCCAGAATCATATTATTGGAGTTCCCAAAAAAAAAAAGGTGACCTACCTGATCTCCCATCGGATGAAGCTCTGTAGATGGATGGTTTCCCTCTAAACGAGCAATTACCCATAACGACCTCCAACTCCAATAATATGAGAGAGAAGGCGAGATTCTCGTTAAGAACTCGCTCCAAAACTGGAAGACAAAACAGCTGCTGCTCTAACGCGAAGTTCCTCCGCTGCATACAATCAACAGGGTTGGTCTGTTCCTGGTGAAGAAGTTAGAGAGATCAAAGAAAGAGCGATGGTATCTTCCACGACAGAGTATACACTAGCCTTGGCAAAGCATGTCTATCTTGCAGGGAGGTGGAGAAGAGTGGGTTGGACTACCATCCTTGGTACATGCAACTTGAAGTTGGGTACGGTGGCCCAAGCACTTGCATGCATGGCACTCCTGCAGCGGCCGAAGGAGGTGCAGCTCGAACTACATAGGAGTTTGATGGTGCGTGGGGACGACGATGACGACGACATGGTCAGCAAGAAACTTATCCATACCCCTTCACCAGAAAAAGACCCTGAAGCCTCCGCCTTCCACGACGAATAAAGAGAGACCCAACTCTTCTCCAAGCCTTTCCAATGGATTCGACAACGATGCAGACGAGAGAGTCCGATGGTGTGGTCAAAGTTTGACGAGTCAAATCTGGCGCCCCCCTGGTCTCGTCTTTGCCTTTCGGTAGGTGTAACATATTCGCCGTGTGACGGCTTTATCACCAATGCACTGTTATGATGAACCGTCGTGACAACATCATAGGAAATTATGTATTATGGAGGGAGCATGGATTCGGTAAAGACATGTATAAGACACAAAAGAGATTTAATATTCTTTTCTTTCTTTCTATTGTAGGGATAAGAAAAATATATAAGTATGAAGGCATAATCAAAGACATTTAACTTTTTTTTTGTGTGTTGTAGGAAAAAAAAAGAGAAAAGAAAGATAAGTGATAATTAATTGTTTGTTTAACCAAAATTCAAGAATATAACGTAAATAATTTTTGTAGAAAAATGAAAAGAAAAACTGTAAATTTCTAAAAATAAATGACATAAAAAAGAAGTCCTCCTTTCTTTCTTTTTTTCTAACTGTGTGGGGATTGTGGAGATTTGGCGGTTAGAGCGCGTCCGCTAGGATATTGACCCGGCATTTTACATTACAGAAGGGGATATAGCACGGCCGATTAAATTTAGCCCGCCGTTCCGGTTCGTAGTCGTCCACATACGCGTTTGCCCGCCAAATAAAGTAACCTGCCCTCTGCTGTCCTCCACCACTCTTCGTACCCGACCCACGCCATCGCCTTCGAATCGTTGGTCCCGCATGGTGTGGCGGTGTTGTTCCTGGGCAACGGTAGAACTGGTTAATGCAAGTATCGGACGACCCCCACCGTTGGTTATTCCTCGCTCTTCCCCTACCCCCTCCCTCTCTTTGCGTCTCTTCGCGCGAGCTATTGGGACCCAATCCCTAGAGGCCTGCGATCCAAGAAGCACGCTTCGATTTGGTTCCCCTTGGCGTTCCTCGTTCTCCTCCTCCGGCTGTTCCTCGCCCACTTCCTCCCCCTGATATCCTCTTCGGTTGGGGACGAAGCAGTCCAACGGCCGCCAGCGCTGGCATCGGAGGGGGCGGTGGAGGAAACCTTTGGTAACAGCAGACCTGGAGCTATGGAGAAACATGGGGGATTCAATTTGCGTGCTCGTCGTTTCGATGCCCTCTGGGGATTCATGGATCCTGGGGAACCTACGCCAATGCCCGACGGCAGCGGCGGAGGCACGGATACCGTGGCGAGGACGTGCGCCTCCGGCTGCCACTGCTTCAGCCCCTCCTTCGTCCCGTCCGTCGCCTGGAACCGGTCCTTGAAGCGGAAGCTGGACGAGAGGGACGCCGAGGCCTGCTCCCTCTCCTGTGTCGCCAAGAGAGGGGACGAAGGCGAGGGCGAAGGCGGAGCCGGAGCCAGCTTCGCCCGGGTGGACATCGGGAACGAGGCGGCGGCCCTTCGCGAGGTCCTCATCAGCCACCAGCAGTCGGTCCAGAAGCTCCTCACGGAGCTGGAGGAGGAGCGCAGCGCCGCGGCATCCGCCGCCACGGAGGCCATGTCTATGATCCTCCGGCTCCAGCGCGAGAAAGCTGAGGCCCAGATGGAGGCCCGCCAGTTCAAACGCCTCGCCGATGAGAAGATGACCCACGACCAGCAGGAGATCGCCTCCCTCGAGGACCTCCTCTTCAAGCGTGAGCAGGCTGTGCAAGCCCTCTCCTGCGAGGTCCAGGCTTATCGCCATCGCCTCCTCAGCTACGGCATCGGCATTGATGGCGACGCACCTCCCTCCGAGCCACAAACCCCCGACACGGCCACGGCCGCCAGCTCCGTCTCCCAGTTCGACGTCCTCCCTCGCGACTATCCCCCATTGAGGTGCAACGGTGATGCTGCCGCCGACCTCGACAAGTACCCCTCCGGAGAGAGCCCCCGGGAGCGCCTCCAGAGGCTTGAGAAGCGCCGCATCTTCCAGCTGGAACGGATGCCAAGCAGCAGCTTCTCTCATGTCATGGACAAGGACGTCGTGGTGGGGCAGTCCCCACGCCGGCGGCCACGGCATTTCAGGAGTTTCTCCTACCGCAGCCTCGCTTCAGGCCAGGAGTTCAAGAAGGGGGACAAGTTCCCGGCGGCGATGGACTGCGCATCAGACTATGGTGGGAGAGACGACATGAGCGACAGAGTGTACACGGTGGATGCGGTGCATGGGGCAAGCGACGACTACGTGAGCACGCCAAGGGAGCTACAGAACCGAAGGTTTGTAGGAGGTGGCGGTCGGGTGGCGCAGGAAGCAGAGATAAGGAAACTTTGCGCGAGGTTGGAGGCGCTTGAGGCGGACAGGGAGTCCATGCGGCAGAGCTTCATTTCTATGGGTACAGATAAAGCTCAGATGGTGTTGCTGAAAGAGATTGCTCAGCAGATGTGCAAGGAAGTGGCCCCAGAGAGGAAGCTCATCAAGAAACCACCTTCCAACAAGAGGTTTTCTATCGTGTCAATCATCAGGGTACTGATCTCTTTTATCCCTTCTTTTCCTTCTTAATGAGCTGCCTCACCTGCGTAAGCTCAAGCTTGCAAAACAATAACTGATACACAGTACTTAAGAAGTAAGATATGAGTCTGATGTATCAGAGAAAACAGAGGAAGATAATAGTGTTGCTTGAAACCAACTTAGAATTTAGATTTCCAGGTGCATTCCATTTATTCTACTTGCATTAATTTCTAGATACCAAGCATCTAAGCAGGTAGTTAATAATCTTAATGCTTTCATCTGATCTTGTGTTTGCCCAGAGTGTCATCTCATTCGTTTTATGGAGAAGGAAATCAACTCGAGCCAGGTAAGTTACGTTTCTACATGTATATCTTGAAGGTTGGGTGATTCATCTCAGTTAAAACAATGAGTTGACCGTTGAGTGTAACCCAGCAGGCACACTTTTGGGTTACCAAGCAGCGATGCTGGGTTACTGCTGCTGTTGGACAAGTCACCTCGAATGAGGCATCGGAGGTTCCTCACAAGAACATAGGTGTGCCGTCAGCTTCTCCAAAGCATGACCAAAATGTGTAAATCCTTGGTGGATCTGGATCTCAGCCTCTCTCCTTCTCTTCATATATATATATATATATATATATATATATATATATATATATATATATATATATATATATATATATATCAATCAGTCAAGACATATAGAAACTACATTTTCCTATACTCCGGCAATGATTTCAGTTTCAACGAATTCAATGCAATGGAGATGTATTGATGCAAGAATTTAAGCATAATTATGATAGACATCCGAGGAATTCGGCTTGAAATGGAAGCGTAAGAAAGAAGAATCAAAAGGAGAAAGAAGACATACCTCCCAGTTCTCAGATCCCGAAAGCGAGCGATATAGTACTACTCCTCCCGCTCTATTCCCGTGCCGCTCCTTCCCCCTTCTCCAGGCTCACGGCCTGGACCCTCCCGACGCACCGTCTCGATGGGAGAGGAGGCGATACTGGACTCCGGCGGAGAAACCCATCAGAGTCGACGGCTCGAGAGGGCGGCGAGGAACTGAAGCCCCGGTCGGAGAAAGGCGACAAAGGGGTTTCCCGCGACGAATTAGCGTTACAGGGGAACCTTTCCAGGCCAATCGCAGGCGGTTTTCGTGGAGAGGGGAGTCGAGGAACAAAGGGGGCGGGGAGTGAGGTCGGTGGGAGGAGAGGGCGCGTATGTGTAGTGGGCTTATTTGGGCTGGGAGGGGCTGTGGATTAAGCACGTAGTAGTTTGAGGAATTAGATATTTCAATATTTAATTATTATTTTTTCCTTAGAAGAATGTTAATCCGGGGATTAAACGCAATCCCCAGGCCGCAGTTGCTGCCACGCACACATCTCGAATTGGGTGCGATGCATGTGGGGCAGACGACAGTAGTGCGTGGAGTCGACATGGTCGTCGAGTTGTCACGATGTGTGTGCACGGGTCGAGATGTCATAGCAACCTATCACGCAGCATTTCGTACCGCTACCTGTCTCGTGGACCCCGCGGCTGCTTCCAGTCACAAGGCAGGTGAATCGGCGGGGGTGGTAGTAGAAGACGATGGCGTTGGGTGGTGGAGGCAGAACAGCGGATCCGCACCTGTCACCAGCGGAGACGGCAACGCATCACCCGCCTGTTGGAGCGGCGCAATGATTGGAGTCCATCTGACGGTCTAGATTTCTCCTTGCTTTCGTTCCGCGCCGTCCGATCCATCTCGCGCCCCCTTCCTCCTCACGTTCCCGCCAGCTCACGCCTCCCAACCCGAACCGGGACCCCGCCCGTCGCGGAGCGCGCGTCACCGGCCTCCGTGATCCGCTCGTTGTGACCGTACGATCGCCTCTCCGACCTTATCTGATCCGTCCAAATGATCTCACGCACAGAAATTTCTATGCAATCCATCGTACGACAGCGGTCGTTACTCGTCCATTGGCATAAACTGGCCAAATTGACCCTACATTCTGTGCTCTGGCTCGAAGACTATAATGTTGTTTCAGGGAAAGTACAGGGATGCTTGGGTAACATCACAGTGGTGTTCCGGTAAATAAGGTTTCGTCTACTTACGTAGTTTGAAATCGGTCCACGACCCTTTTGTACTCTTGCCATCGAGCACAGGGAGAGTGAAGTGGTGGTTGCAGAGCGGAGAGCGGATCCGAGGCTGCCGACGACGAAACTAGGGTTTCCGGGAGGGGCGAGAGATCGGGACTCCGATCGATCTCAAAGAGGAGTGGGTTTCGGAGCCCGTTGAATTGAATTTCGGAGGTTTGGTCTCACCGGGCGGGTACGGATAATCGCCGCTCACCTCCCCGTCACACGGATCGGCCGCGTCCCCTCTGGATCCCTCGCTCTCCGACGAACCCGATCGAGCTCTGCAGGTACTGTGCGACCCACTGTTCTTGATTTAGATCTCGATCTTCCGTATGCCTCGCGATTTGGCGAATTGACAGCGTGGAATTTACGGGACACGTTCGGTTGTTTTTAGGAAATGTATCCTCTATCTCGATCTTGAAGGAGATCGTTGTGGATCTTCTCAAAACAATTGCTCTCAGTTTGATCTTTTCCTTCTCCAATTCAGTAGGATTTGCTTCAAGTGCCAGATGCATATGATGAAATCGAAGATGAAGTAGAATTGAATTCGATGTACTGTTGCAGAGTTCAAACCTAGAGATGGATTCAGGTGGAGGAGTCGAATCGGAGCTCAATAAAGGAGCGGTGGAGAAGGCTCCAGAGGCCAATGGGTTCAACGAGAACGAAGTCACCGAGAATGGAGCCGATGCGGTTCGCATCGACAGTGGCTCCGACGGTACGTCGAAGGTTGAAGCTCCTGATTCTTCTGGAGATGGCGATGAAGCGCCAACTTCTGCCGCCGAGAACAAAGCGCCGTCCAATTCTTCCGAGGTATTGTATGCTTTTTCTGCGGCCTGTTTCCAAAAACTCGTGTAGTATGACTCTGTTTTGGGCAGTGGGGAGATGGATCTGATGGAAAAGATGATATCAAGAAGACGCAGAAAAATTCTGGTGCTCTGAATGCTTCCTTGGCTGAGTCTCAGAAGAAAAGGAATGTTATGTCGCAGAGTTCGTCATTTCCTCCCAAGGGTTCCCTTGCCGATAATTCGCGCAGGAGCACAACATCTACAAAGCAGTCTAGAGTTGCATCCTCAATCACAAATGGTTCGATCTCGCTTCTTAGCATCCAACTATGCCGACAAATCACCTTTTTCGTGGGTTACGTTTCACAACTTTGCTTGCAGGTGATGTCGTTGTTAAGCGTTCTGCAGCAATTGCTCAGAAAACATTGGTGAGTATGAAGTTAAGGGGCTCCGTTTCTTTTTTGGAATAAGCAAGTTAAACTGTCATTAGAACTATGCTTTTGGTAATGCTAAGCTGTGGGCTGTTTTGCTGATGCTATTTTATTTCTTGTTGGGCCGTAGTCCGTCAATACTGACTCGGCGGCGGAGGCAACCATAAATGGCACATCTGCTGAAGATGCACAGTAAGATTTGTTTTTTTATTTTTTATTTCATGCAACTTCTATGAAGTTCTTTTTTTTACTTAAACGATCTAATTCAGATGCTTTTAATACTTTATAATGCATGTTTAGAGATTGTTATATCGATTTCAGGAAAACATTTGTTTAGGGACACTGATGTTAGAATACATTTTAGAAAGTGAATGAAAACTTTAAGAGGATAGAAACGAAGTTGATAGGTTAAATGTATTTCCAGTAGAGTTTTTCTAAACACAAGATTGTTATCCTATCCGAAAGGATAACTAACTCGTTAGTTTATTAAGCCCCAATCATTTATTTAAAATATTTAACTTTAAATTAATAATAGGAAATTCATCTATCACTTCCAAATTCAGTCAGTTCTCAGATCTAAATAATAATTCCGAGTCCATAAATACGGGACTAACCCAATGTATAAACATAGTCTTATTTACATCTCTGTTACTAGAATTGCATCCCGTGCTTGTACGCATTCATCTGTCTTACATCCTAAAGCCGACCTTATATCGCTTGACAGTACCTTGAGTCAAACTGGCTTCACCTTGTAATGTAAATTATTTATCATTTTTTTGGTGAAATTAACATGACATACCAGGTCAAATGATAGCAAAACAAAGCCCTCGGGAAGCCCGTTGCCAGCCGGAAAAGAGGATGATGCCCACTCCACATCCTCGTAATGTTTCATGCTTATACACTTCACATGATTCAATTTTTCTTAGATGCCATGAATTGTCGCTTAAAGATTTGCGCTACGCTTATTCCAGAAGTTCACCACGTGCAAGAAAGAGCGCTGGTTGTGGTTTCAGCTTCAGGTTGGATGAGCGTGCCGAGAAACGCAAAGAGGTTGACAGATTAACTTCTATTCTTTTCCTACTGCTCTGCCTAAGACACTTGTTTAAACAATGTGTGTCGTCGTCTTCTTAGTTTTTCATGAAGCTTGAAGAGAAGAATCATGCCAAGGAACTGGAAAAGACTAACCTGCAGGCAAAATCCAAGGTGATCTTCTTTGAACTTGGGTTTTCCTTGTCCTTCATGAAAGCTTTTGCAGACTGAATGTGGACTAAGTTCTCTAGAAAACAATATATTATAGGAGAATCAAGAGGCCGAGATCAGACGGCTAAGGAAGACCTTGACCTTTAAAGCCACTCCAATGCCAAGCTTTTATCAGGAACCTGGTCCTCCAAAAGTTGAATTGAAGAAGGTACCGTTAGAGAAGTGCATCTACAAATTTGATTAGTCATTGACAAATACCTTAATACTTGCCTCTGCTTATATTTTCTTTCGAATGAATAGTTAGGGCTTCCTCGCTAAATATATGTACAGATATAACTCTGGCTTGCCATAGCTTTGATAATTAACTTCTTGGTGTTCAGTTTCCTTTTGGTACTATATAATCAATTGGCATGTAACTTGTTTCTCTGCTAAATAACTTTGTATATGGTTGGCAATTGGCATGCAGAAGATTAGAGCCCGTTAAATCTTAAGAAACTTTGTGATTTCTCGATTTGTATTTACTTTTCCTCTTTCTGTTTTGTTTCCTTCCAAATCATTTTTAGAAGTAATCTTTGTGTTACCATATAATTAATGCCTTTGATAAGCATACTTGGAAAGAGAACATACCCGAAGCATCCTGCTGCTAATCTACAGATCCCTCCGACGCGCGCTCGATCACCAAAGCTCGGCCGTCGCAAGCAATCCGTTTCTGCAGCAGATGGTTCTTCAGAAGTCGGTACCTCCAGCTCAACCAAACCGAGTGATGGTGCCGCAAGCAGCAAGGGGAATGCAGCCTTTCCAAAGAAGCCAAAGCAAAAGTTACTCTCCAAGCTTCCATCACAGAAATCACCAACAGCAACAAAGCCTGATGCAAAATCTCTGATGCCAGGAACTGAGAAGCCTGAGGTAGGAAACAGTTCCGCTGAAACTTGTGTTGCAGCGGAGCCGGCCTCTCCTGGGGACTCGGCTGAGGAAGGACAAACGAATGGCGACCTCCCTGAAACTGAGGTCGCAGCTCAGGAAGTACCAGTACGGGGTTAACTGGTGGGTAGGGGCCTCCGGACCCTGTGCTGTAGTTTTGTTGTGGCCATTTGTGAATAGAGAGAACTGTGTGTTGCTTGAAAAGCATGGTGTTGATATCGTCCTCTGAAGACTTTATATGAATTAGGTCATGTGTATGGTTTCAACCTGTTTTGCCGTTTGATTTATGGTATTACATCATGAGATGGTGATTATTATTATCTCTACAAGATCTTAGTGCTCCTTTAAACTGCTTTTGGTAAACCTGTATGATTTTGCTTGCTTAGTTCGTTTCGATCCCTTTTTGCTCTACTTTTACCTTCCTCACTTGAACCTGAAGCCTTCAAGAGGAATTCCCACCAAAATCCGCGTTACGGATCCTCATTCTAGTTTCATTAATGTGTGTGGATCTTCGCCCTACATCCGACCTGTATTCTGGATCCATATGCTTCTCGGATATAGAACTAGATCCTTGATGAATCCAACAAGATCTATTGGAATAATACACTAAAGAATTAAGTAAAATAAACTGCAAGCAATCCTGTGCATCTACAACATCAATGGCTTCATCATCAGTCCCTAATAAAGAATCATGCCACTGCTTAAGTCAGAATTTTCTCTACCAACAGCTCTACGCAGTTGAAAGGTGAACATATTAAATGCAAACAAAAGATCGTGGAGTAATTGCCTGAAAGCCGTCTCCTCTGTCGCATGTCAAACATGTCACACCCAAGTGTGACATCATAGAAACCAATGTTAGCACAACATACGAGCGAAGGTTTCTTTGTAATCGATACCTTCTTCTTGGTTGAAATCTTTGACCACTAATTTAGCCTTATTTCTAACCATAATACCATATTCATCTTGCTTGTTTCTGAAGACCCATTTAGTACCAATAACTAAATGGTCATTTGGTCTTGAAACAAGCTTCCACACGTCATTTCTCTCAAATTGATTCAATTCTTCTTACATTACGATGACCCATGAATAATCTTTTATAGTCTCATCAATATATTTAAGTTCAATTTAGGAGAAAAAAACGGCGTTGGCACAAAAATTTTTAAGAGAAAAATGAGTTTGAACCCCTTTCGATGTATCTCCTATAATTAGCTCCTTAGAATGAGCATCTACATGCTTACATTCCTTCGGTAAAGAAGGTTCAGAAGAAGATGCATCCGAGTTGCTAGATGGAGAAGGGGAATCATTTAAATTCAAAGTATCAAAATTAAGATCATCATCAAAATCATTTTTCTTAACTTTGAAAATTTTATTAAAAACAACATGAATAGATTCTTCTATAATCAAAGTTCTTTTGTTAAAGATACGAAATGCTTTAGAAACAAAAAAATAGCCAAGAAAAATTTCTTCATCGGATTTTACATCAAATTTACCTAAGATATTTTTTTATTTAAAATAAAACATTTACATCCGAAAACTTTAAAGTGTGAAATGTTGGGTTTTTTGTTGTTCCATAACTCATAAAGAGTCTTGGAAAGTAGTGGTCTTACTATAACCCTATTCATAACATAGCACATCGTATTTACGGCTTCGGCCCAAAAATATTTAGGTATGCTATATTCGTTTAACATAGTTCTAACCATTTCTTATAAGTTTCTATTCTTTTTTTCTACTACTCCATTTTGTTGAGGATTTCTTAGAGTAGAGAAGTTGTAGTTGTATTTATTAGATTCACAAAATTCTTGGAAATCATAATTTTAAAATTCACCACTGTGATTACTTCGAATTGACGAAATCATAAAACCTTTTTCATTTTGAACAAGTTTATAAAACTTGGAGAAATACCTAAAGTATTAACTTTTGTGTGTCAAAAAATAAGTCCATGTACATCTACTATAATCATCCACGATGACAAATGCGTATTTGCTACCTCCTAGGCTTGATGTAGAAATTGGTCCGAACAAATTCATATGGATCAATTGCAACGGTCTAGAGGTGCTTACTTGGTTCTTAGGTTTGAAGCTACCTTTTATTTGTTTTCCTAGTTGAGATGCATCATACACATTATCTTTGATGAACTTGATATGAGGAATTCCTCTTACAAGTTCCTTAGATGAAATTTGAGAGATTAGCTTCATGCTAGCATGACCTAATCTCCTATGCCAAAGCCAAGCATTGTCATTTAAAATCGAAAAATATATTTCATTACAAAGATCATTAATGTCGATATTGTATACATTATTTTATTTTAGAGCAATCATAGATGTGTTTTTATGTGGTTTTTCTATAATACAAGAATTAGATTCAAATTTAACAATATATCCTTTATCACACAATTGACTAATGCTCAAAAGGTTATGCTTTAAGCCATCAACTAATAATACATCTTTAATAAAAAAGTTGGATGTTTTACCTATAGTTCCTTTGCCAATGATTTTACCCTTGTTGTCTTCGAATGTGACATATTCTTCGTCTAGGCTAGTGAGCTTAAAGAATTGAGATGGATCTCCGGTCATATGCTTTGAGCATCCATTATCAAGATACCATCTCTTACTCCTAGCTTATGATGGTATATGTTTCTACAAAAGAGGATGATTTTTAGGTACTCATTTGACCTTGGGTGCCTTAAAAATCGATTGGCTTAACTTATCATTTTGCATGGAATTCTTTACAGTTCCTTTAGGAACCCAAATCAATTTGTGTGAACTACACTTCTTAAATGGACAATGATAAGCTACATGTCTAAGTTTACAACAAAAGTTGCATTTGTTTTGGGGTGAAATATGCAAGATAGGGCCTTTAACAAAGGTGGTTGGATTTTGGTGAGAGATACTCACAAATCCGATTCCACTTCTTTTATGAACGTGACCCTTATTGGCAAGGATCATGTTCAAGGACTTGCTATCAACCTCAAATTTTTCTAAGGTTTCTTTGAGTAGCAAGTTTTCTTTTCTAAGTGTTTTTACTTTATGACATTTTATACATGCAGCTAAACTTCATGACCTTCTAGGCGGTGCCACCGTCGGCCATGTTTTCAAGGGCTGATTGGGATGTTCAATCCGACCCAAATCAGCCCTATTAAGGGCCCATTTGGCCCCTAATTAAGTTAGTGGGATTACCTCCCAATCCTAACTTAATTTACGCTTTAACTATAATAATTAAGACATAATCACAACACTTCTTGTTCTGGTGTGTCAATTGCTCTTCCGGCGAACATCCGACGAACTCTTGACAATGCTCCGACGGACTCCCAGCAAGCTCCTGGACTTTACGATGATCTTCTTGGTAAGTTCCGATGAGCTTCTTTGGCAAGCTCCTGGACTTCTCAGTTGGTTCTGGTAGAACTTCCGACAAACGTCCATACTTCCGACGAACTCTCGAACTCCCAACGTGATCTTGATCTTAACTCTGGCACAACACCTGCTTTATGTCTTACTGCTATCGTAGTTAATCCTGCACACTTTTCTCAACATATAGATTAGATCAAATAAATTACAATTGACTTCATCATCAAAATCCGAGATTCAACAATTATTCTATTATTGAACTACTTAGCATAAATTAAAGAAATTTGATTAATATTATTTGTAATTCATCTCCCTAAGTTTTATCTGACTTGTAGCTGCCAAAGTGGCTTGGGATGATAAGCTTTTATGATGTGAATTACAATAAAAGTTTTATCATTTATAGGATATTTTAAATCATATTTTATATTATTGTATTGGTCTTGTAGCCACCGAAGTGACCTAGACCAATGATTTATAAAATAATATTAAGGAATCAGTCATAAATGACATTAAGGAAATAATATTCATAATAGTACATATAATTAGGAGATTTAGATAATCTCAAAGGAGAATCTAATTCAAATAATTATGTGATGGGGTAGGATGATACTATTTTGGATATTCTTGTAGTTTAAGGTTGTATACCCCAGTGATTTAAAAAGCGCTAGGCACCAAAAGGCGCCAAGGTCCAAAAACGCCCGAGGCGTTAAGCGCTCGCCCGAACGAAACGAGGCGCTAAAATATAAAAATATATAATATAATTAATAAATATAATTATTTAAAATTTTAAATAAAAATATGCTATTAAATTAAGAAAATCTAAGATACAAAATCACAATGTCACATTAACAAAAAGTTTCAAAATTCAAAACAATAAAATTTTACATCAAAGTCATTCATCATAATCAATATTATCGTCATTTTCACACAAATCATCTTCATTGAATTCGTTTTCTTCCTCTTGTCCTTCGATTCCTTCCTCTTCATCAAGATATGTTTCATTCTCTATGTCTTCAACAATAGAAGGAGCCGAGCTTGATACTTTTGCACTCATTTTTCTCTTTGACATATGTCTTGTATATGTTTCTAATTCTCCAGCACTTGAAGCTCTTGCCACATCTCCCTATGTCAATCTATCATCTTCAAATACAAGCTCGTCTTCAGCATCTTGCAAGTTAGCACCCATTTCTCCTACTAACCACTCATTTGAATCATCAATATCTTGCAATGAGATTGAATCAAATCTATTTTTCAAATCATGACGAGTCTTCAAAGCTTGATTATACTTTATGTAAACAAGATCATGCAATCGTTGATGTTCTAACCGATTTCTTCTCTTCGAGTGAATCTATCATGTCATATAATTTAAAAATATATTAATACATATATCTAAATAAATTAATTAATTAAAACAAAAATATTTAGTAATACTTACATGCTCAAAGACACTCTAGTTTCGCTCACAACCCGAAGCACTACATGTCAAACTAAGTACTTTGATAGCAAATTTCTGTAAGTTCGGAGTGGAATTTCCAAATAGACTCCACCATTCAGCTGTAAAATTTATGTTATTATTAGCAATAACATAGTAACATAATATATATGAAATTAATTATATCAAATTATTAATACCTGGAGAGGTAGTTGTCCTGGATCGAACGACAATTGGAATTCCAAAAAGACCTTCAGTATTTTTATATAAAGATAATTCATGAATAATCTTATCTCGAACCTCAAGGCTGGGAACTAATCTTGCAACGCACTGATATAACCCACCCAAAACTTCTGCATCAAATCCAACAGATTTAATCTTATAAAAGAATTCAGGGTTCAAATAATATCCTACTGCATGTAAGGGACGATGAAGTTGACAATTCCATCTTTCGTCAATGATTGTAAAAATTTTCTCATATTTTTCTTCATTTTCATTAAAAGATCTTTTAATCATCTCCTTTGCTCTATCCATAGCCTCATAAATATAT